AAAAGAGACTATCAAAAGAAGAGGAATTTTGTGAACAGTTTTATGACAGTACAACTATAAGAGATGAAGAAGGAAGATTTGTGGTTAAACTACCATTTAAAACTAGAAATCCACAATGTAGGCAAGGAAATCTTAAAGAAATAGCTGCCAAGAGGTATGAAATGTTAGAAAAAAATTTATTAAAAAACCCGAAACTTAAAGAAGAATACCACAAGGTCATAAACGAATATATAAATTTAAATCATATGGTTGAAATTAGACATGCAGAAATTGATAGTCCCACTGCAGTCTATCTCCCGCACCACGCGGTACTTCGCGAAGATAAGGAGACGACGAAACTTCGTATAGTCTTTGACGCTTCGTGCAAAGGAGTTAATAATGTTTCTTTAAATGATGATTTACATGTTGGTCCTAAGTTGCAGCAAGATTTGCGCCACATATTGGTGAGATGGAGGCTTTATAAAATTTGCCTTACTGCAGATGTAATTAAAATGTATAGAATGGTGAGGGTGTCAGAAGATGATACAAATTACCAAAGAGTTCTATGGAGATTTAATCCGAGTGAGCCAATAAAACACTACAAGCTTTTAAGATTAACATTTGGGACAGCATGTGCGCCCTATCTCGCTGTGAAGTCACTCCAGAGGTTAGCTGATGATGAACAATCAAAGTTCCCTGTTGCTGCTCATATAACTAAACGTGATTATTACGTCGATGATTTAATGACGTCATGTGAGACAGTTGCTGATGCTATTAATATATATAATGACATGAGTAAATTAATGAATTTAGGAGGTTTTGAGCTCCAAAAGTGGAGCAGTAATAGTAAAAATGTGCTAAAATATATCGGTGAGAATAAACGAGATGATCATGAACTTCCTCTGAAGGTGAATAACCTAGTTAAGGTATTAGGAGTGAGTTGGAATAGAGACATAGACAAATTCGAATATACTCTAAATGTGCCTATAGTAAAAGAACCTATAACTAAACGGCAGATTCTCTCAGAAGTAGCGAAACTGTATGACCCTTTGGGATGGATAGCCCCTGTTGTTGTTATAGCAAAGTTAATAATCCAGAAGTTATGGCTTACTGGATTAGATTGGGACAGCACTATAACAGGAGATTTACTGAAGGAATGGTTACAATTTAGAGAAAATTTGATACATATTAAATGCATTAATATACCGAGGTGGCTACATTATTCTTCCACATCTAAAGCAGAGTTACATGTCTTTGCAGATGCTTCACAGACAGCATATGGTGCATCAGTATACATGCGAGTCATTGAAGGTGATAAGGTTTATGTGAATTTAATATCAGCCAAAACTAAGGTTGCACCAATTACGAAACAGATTTCAATACCTCGACTGGAATTATGTGGCGCTGTGTTGGCGGCCAAGCTAATTTCTGAAATATCACAAGTGTTAAACATATCTAACGAATACTTACATGCATGGACTGATTCAACCATAGTCCTGGCATGGCTAAGGGGAGGACCTAGTCGCTGGAACACGTTCGTAAGTAACCGTGTATCTGACATACTAAATATTTTAAATTACGAACAATGGGGACACGTTACTTCTGAGATGAACCCGGCCGACTGTGCGTCAAGAGGTCTACAAGCTTTAGATCTATCAGATCACTTACTATGGTGGAATGGACCTGCCTGGCTATCTTTATTAGATGTAAATTTGAGTATGGTCGACATCGAAGATACACAAGAAGAAGAGAAGATAAAATCTTTAACTGCTTTATGTACATCCGAAGAAGAATTTATATGGTCTAAGTTTTCTAATTTAAATAAATTATTGAGAGTTATTTCATACTGTAGAAGATGGCTAAATTTAAAATCAACTAAAGATAAGCGTCGGTGTTATACTAGTTATATTTCAACAAAAGAAATTAATGAATCCTTAGATATTTGCATTAAACAAGTTCAAGGGTTTGAATTTAAGGATGAAATGAAACAATTAAAGACTCTGGGATATGTTTCTAAAAAAGAGTAAACTGCGCAGTCTTACGCCCATTTTCGATGATAATGGGATTCTAAGAGTCAGCGGAAGAATTCAACAGTCACACGTGGAGTACGACACACAGCATCCTATAATTTTACCTGCTAAAAACTATCTTAGCAAACTTATAATTATGGATGCTCATCAGAAAACAATGCATGGAGGACCACAACTGATGATAAATTATTTGAGAACAAAATACTGGATTCTACGAGCTAAAGATCAAACAAAGAAATGTTACCGTGAGTGTGTGACTTGCATTAGATACTCGAAACGTAAATCATCACAGTTAATGGGTCAATTACCAGAGGTGCGTGTAACTCCCAATAGACCATTTAAGTCGGTCGGTGTGGACTATGCTGGACCTATTAACATCAGATTCTCCCCAGGTAGAGGAGCAAAGTCCTTTAAAGGGTATATTTGCTTGTTTATTTGCATGGCCACACGCGCTATACACTTGGAGGCTGTCACAGACATGACTTCGAAGGCATTCATCGCCGCTTTCAGAAGGTTTACAGCAAGACGAGGCCACTGTCAAGATATCTATAGTGACAATGGCACAAACTTTGTAGGAGCAGAAAAACAATTAACGACAATGTTTAACAGTGCCAAATCTTCAGTGCCTAGTGAAATAGCAGAAATGTTAACATTAGAGCGTACTACATGGCATTTCATACCCCCACACGCTCCTAATTTTGGAGGTTTGTGGGAGGCTGGCGTACGTAGCACAAAAACACACCTTAAAAAGGTAATCGGCGATACAACTCTAACTTACGAAGAACTCACAACTATGCTGACTCAAATAGAAGCCTGCCTTAACTCACGACCTCTGACTGTCTTAAGTGACAACCCTAATGATCCTCTCCCACTGACGCCTGGACATTTTTTGATCGGCGAACCTGTGCTAAATGTAGCTGACCAAAGTCATGCTTATGTAGACATTAGTTATCGCGATCGTTGGCGGTTAACACAAAAAAATGGTCACTGACTTCTGGAACCGATGGTCTAAGGAATATCTTGTAATTCTAAACAATAGGTACAAATGGAATGTTAAAAATAACTTAGAACCGGAAATTGATGATGTAGTTGTTATACAGGAGGATAATGTTCCTCCTGGTAACTGGATTATGGGTAGAATAGTTAAAAAGCATATTGGTCCCGACAATGTGACCCGGGTAGTATCGATCAAATGTAGAAGCGGAACGCTAAAAAGACCTGTATCAAAAATATGCATTTTAACTAAATAATTAGTTTATTTTTAATTGTTACTTTATTATTATACATTTCCATTAGTCATTTAAAAGTGAAAAAAATCAATTCATATATCAACTTACTTTTGTTAACAAAAACCTTATTTGGAAATATGTAATAAACAAAATATACAAACTATGTAATACTTACCTGTATGTTTTTAAAAATTATTATATACTGTGTTAGATACCTGTGTACTTTACTATACTACGCTATAATATACATATATTAATAGACATGTGAATTGTTGTGTAATGCTATATACAACTATGTATGCAGACATATTACGGTGGGCGGTTTGTCTTATTTTTATGTACAATAAGCCATTTAAATATGATGAAAAACAATGTCTGATGCATACTATTGTGTCTTTCATGAAACAATTGTATTGAACTATAGTTTGTAATTTTGTTAAGAGTTTATTTTTTCTTTCATGTTATTTCTTTAAAGGACTGCGTCCTTTGGTGGGCGGAATGTCCAAATATGTATACAGTCCACTACTCTTAGTCAGTTAAAATAAAAGTGTCATACGATTCGCACGTGTTATTATTGCAATTATTCATTTCAAGACCCTCAATCAATTAGTGATCAATTCTCAACTATAACTCCTTAACACCCACTATGTACGGTTTAAACACTCGCCCGGCACCGTACAGCCCTACCAAAGGCCGAGAATAAATATAAATTTACACTCGGACCGGGAATCGAACCCGGAACCTCACACCCACCACGGTCACATACAAAGCCGCTTGGCTATGAGGCCCTTAAAAGGAATGTTCAATTACTCAACCACTTTGTAATTGCCATCCTCACACAGGAGTATCGATATAGTTGGGTGCCCACTGCACACTATAGAATCTCAACTGTGCCCACTATGTACGGTTTAAACACTCGCCCGGAACCGTACAGCCCTACCAAAGGCCGAGAATAAATATAAATTTACACTCGGACCGGGAATCGAACCCGGAACCTCACACCCACCTGTTGTTTTAATCTTTTGATTTCTTTATATAACATTTTATTAGATACCAAAGCCACGGAGATATATATATGCAAGCATGTTTAAAAATATTATGTTTTGTTTAATTAATTTTACCTGCCTTTCATACTATCAATTTATGAACTAACTGCATAAGTCACATTGCATAGCAGATATTTAAAATATATATGCCATGTTATTTTATAATAATAAAAGAGCAATATAATAAATTTCACATTTTATTTTGCGATAAAATTAACTTTCTACACACTATTAAAGTAACCGAAACAAAAACACTAAACCTAAAAGAGTTCGGAGTTCCGATGTCGGCCACCGAACCGGCCTCCTCGCCGTTGGCCTAATTACGGCTGTAATAAGCCGTTATGTTATTTTATTTATTTGTTCAGATAAAATAGTCCATCATTATGTTATTTTAAACTTATAGACTAGTGTGAGTATACTATTATTTAAAAAAAAAAAAAAAAAGCTAAACATGAAACGCACAAAATGCCCCACGGGAAGCGAAGACAGTCTTCACGATGCTGTTCGGACCGCGAGAAGGCAGAAAGGATTGCAGACAAATATATCTAACTAGCTGACCCGGACGAACTCCGTTCCGCCTAACAGTCTAATGATGTCGTGTTAACTTTAGTTAAACTTCATTTAGGTAACATTAATACAGCTGTTTTGTCGCTCGTTTCGCTGAATATGGCAAGTCTCGCATGGTCTCTTTACATGCTTCGTAAGCTTGCGTTGATTCAGCGTTCCAGTCGATCCGCTTCTTGACGTTGTGCAGGTATGTAGACGGATTGTTTGATATTTTCACGTCGCAGTTCTTCCACGGTTTTGGTTTTGGAAAATTGGTAAAACGAAAACATTTTGACAGGTCGATAGTGATGCCGTATTATTCGAGTGCGTAGATGTTTTCGGTGCTCTTCCTCGGTCGATGCTATGAGTAGGTCGTCAACGAAGGGGAATACGAAGTCCAGTTCGCGCAGTGCTTCGGGAATAAGCGTTGGAAAGTCTGTCCGGCGTTCTTTAGACCGGGACACGTGCGCGGGAACTCGAAAAGGCCAAATGGTGTGTTGATGGCGGTTTTCTCCACGTTTTGCTCGCTGACCGGTAGTTGTTGCTACGAGGTGTGGCTCGTATGTGGTGAGGTTGAGGTCGAGGGTGGAGAAAATTTTCTTTCCGGCGAGTTGTAAAGTCTACTTATTATCAATTGAAGAATAGTTGCAATTAAATAATTTCTATATTCGGGTGCCTCGTCATTTAAACAAATGTGATATTCTTCTTCACAGGAATTTTCTGCTTTTGGTCGTCTGAAATTAGTAAGTACATACATAATTTAATTAAAAATAAATAAATCAAAAAATATGAAGCTCAGACAGAGAAAGAAGCCATTCTTGATCATTTTGAGAAAACAGGAGACGAGGGGTGATCGAGAATCTTATCTACATTATTGAATAATAAAAAATAAAAAAAAGTGAAACTTCTTTGTAAATTAATTATTGAGTAATTAAGCTGCCCAAATCCCATAATTTAATTTTGCCAGTCTTTCTATTAATGAACGATACTAAGGCTAATCAAAAACCAGAACTAAAATTAGTTGTTATGTATATATTCTATATATTATGTACATAAATATGGTAATTTTATGTACATATATAGAAAATATTTTCTAAAATAGCCAACTGGGTCTTAGCAAAAAAGGTCTTGATTCTTTGCCATTATAAAAATACTTTTAATAAGATAATAATGATATGTACTAAAAACACCATCGGTGTTCAAGTATGAATGATTGCACAACAATATTATACTAGCACATATTAAAATATATAAAATTGTCAAAAAAATAAAAACAATTTTTTAGGGATGGACACCCCTTATCACTTAGGGGTTTGAAATATAGATAGATAGAAGAATCGGTCGAAGCCGTTTCGGAGGAGTATGGGAACGACCATTGTGACACGAGTATTGCGAAACTTATTGTTTGAGATTAAATTACATCCACAAGATAATATTAAACTAGCTTACCTTCTCAAATTCCACGGTCTGACTTCCAGGAGAACTCATCAAACCCTCGAGTGGATATGATGAAATGTCTCTGTGGGCAGCCGTTGCGGTCCCAATGCTATTGATACTGAAATACATTTAGGCTAAAATGAAATTCTCGTTATACTGTATGGATAATATGTCAAAATATATTATTTTAACTATCCAAGACACTTTACGCCAGTACTACACAAGTCACAAGTTGTCTAACGAAGTAAATAATTTAATAAACTCGTATTTATGTCCTAATAATAAGGTAGTTTTTTTCAGCGGTGCATGTTTCATACATACATAAGATTATTTTACCTACTATAACAATATTATAAAATTGCAATGAACGCAACCTTATAAACTTGACACAATGTTAAATTCATGTTATTATTATTAATTTCAAGAAACTTTGTGTAAAGAACTTTTGTTTTACTTGAGCCGAGCCGGCAGACTCCATGACTCAACGCTGAACGCCAATTCGTTGACAGGTTGTAATTGACGCCAAAAATGGCATAACCACAGATTATGACTGTGACTATAAAAGTTGCACATATTTGTAAAGTTATTCGTAATTGATCAAAGCAACCCTATGCGTTCTAGAAATACTATCGTGATTATATAAACCTGCTCTATTTAAATACTTTTCTTTTTTCTGTTAACCTTTAAAGTTTTTTGTAGCGTCAATATTGCAATTTTACTCTAGACGCTAGATGGCGCTACTTGCACCATAATCAATTATTATAATAAAAAAATGTTTCTATGTAATTTTTAGTAAATAGTTAAGAGCTCTTGTTAACGAACGTTTTTGTCAACGGGTAACGGGCCGACGCAAAACGGCTACCTTTGTACACGATACGCTAAATATAACGTGAACGCGTCCGTTGTTGTCGATATCAGTTCTATTAAATTTGAAGGGAGAAGTGCACGTACGTTGATTATTATTTATCAGATAATGTCTCAAAATCTTCATTTAGCATTACGAAGATTTCTTTCCATGCCGCAAAATTTGCTTGTTTATTTTTGTAATTTTCTATAGTTTTGTCCCATAACATAGGCCTATTCTGAACAAGGCTAATTAATAAATCCATATCAATGGTAAACTCCATATTCACAATGAGCAGCAGAGGGTAGGTAGATAGAAATATAATGTAATAACGTGCGCACATCCGTCGTCGTCAACACACTTCTATGAAATGCCGTAGTTCACTGCATCGGACAGTCCGCCGTCGCGCCGAGCGGCAACGTGCGCGCATCCGTTGAGTCACGTTGCAACGGGTATGAGCCCGTCGCGTTAACAAACATTCACTCAACTTACTTGAACACTGCGCGTCGGCCCGTCGCCCGTTATAAAAATCGGGCCGTTGTCCGTTGTCGTTAACAAGAGCTCTTACTAGACGTTGTGATCGTAAAATATGGGAAAATAAATATGCTTTGTATAATACAACTTTGTTGGGGTACGAAGGCCCATTATCAATTTAAAGAAATAAATGATGTTAACACTAAAAAATAAATATAGTTTAAAAATATATAGTTTTCCACTTTTTAGTCCTAGCAGCAATACATGTTGTCTCAATTTAATCGTATTGCTTTGTGGACTTAAAAAAAATTTCATTGTTTTTTCGAGATAAACCTATCAAATTATTATATTGTCGCGGATTCTTTATAAGTGTACAAAGTTTGAATTAAATCTGTCCGTTTAAAGTGGGTCAAAATCGAGTCTGAAGGAGTCGGTTACATACATACATACATACAGGTGAAGCTAATATAAAGCGTGTAAAAAGATAATGCAGATCAAGAAGAAAATGTAGGCCAGCCAATTGAAGCAATAAAATTATGATATTTATCTCATACCAATTTCAACACATTCTTAATCATGCTTTGTCTCCTGCAGACATAGAACGAGAAAATTATCAAGAGAATCCTTGCTTAGGTTTTTTAATTTTTTGTAAAATATTCATATTTTTAAAGTAGGTATACTAAAGTTATATAATATATGTAATAATTTCAGAGATAAATTCTTGGTTGCATTGCCTGTGAAGAAAAATATTTCATTTCTATCAATAGCACGAAACCTAGATAAAGAAAGCCATAATAGTGCAGTCATTTTCAAATTATTGCATTTAAATTATCCTTCAATTGATAATAAATGTTATGTTATCAAACGCCAATTTAGGTTTCTATATTTTTATAAATAATATTAAGGTGATTTAAACATAAAACAAGCTATTGGATACGAAATCCTTCTGTTCTACACAAGTACACATTGTATGTATAAAATTTCATCATTAGTTTAGGTATTTATTTAGATTTTATTTCATTTTTCATAACTATTACTTTCTATAATGTAAATAAATATATTTGTTTAAAAATAAAAAGTAGATCGTATTAACTAGCGCTATGTGAGTCACGGCCCTTTGAATTATTTTAATTATATTTTAGGTTATATTATGTATAAAACAAATATTTCTTAAACGCCAAAATCAAATTACATACTTTAAAACCAACTATTAATTACACAAATCTGTGGCTAAGACCCATTAAGGGTATCTTTGGTGTTAAGCTGTAGTCAGCAGCAATTACTACCTTTTCAATATTTATTGCTTCTGAATTTATATAAGTTATAGCCATTTCAAAATTCAAAATCAATGGTAATCTCTTGAAATGGTTGATCAATTGTAAGCTTATCTTTGATCCAAAATACCTAACATGATCATTTTAGTTGTAGTAAAAATTAAATTAAAGTTACTTATTTAATTCCATCTCAACAGTACCAACACTAGTTCTCTGTCCGTTTTCTTCTTTTTAGATTCTTAGCATGTTGTAATTACTCTAACAAAATATTTTATGAAAACATTGGTTAACTTACCTTTAGCAACATTTATAAAATTTAAGATATCTATCAATTCTGTTTAGTTTAAATGATAATGATAGAATGTATACGTTGCGAGATTCCGTCGTAAGCTAGGATGTTCTTTAAATTGTAACAACATATCCAGATGAAATGTTAAGTATCCCTTGTTTCATGCTGAAATATAATTAATATTTTGTAGTTGTCTGTGCTCCACAAACATTTCAGAAATACTACGACTTGTCAGTTATCGTGTCATGGTAAATATAAACTCTTCATAGGAAGTTATAAACACAACACGAACTTATTACATACCTTTAACTCGCCGTCGTGTCTCGACTTTCGGGCAAATGGCAATGGCTTAGTCAAGATGCCTTAATATTAGTGTATGTAGAAAGTCGAAAACATTACTTTTTTATGAAAATTTGTTTGGTATCTAACTAAAGAAAACATTTTTATCATCACGTTTTCTGCCAGTGTCAACTGTCAATATCTTCAGTTTTAATTGTCAAATGCGTGCTATTGACAAATAATATATGGGAGTATAATTAATAGAATTTGTTAAATTATGTTGCCTCGTTTAAATCACATCATAACATTTATTATTTAATACAAAAATCTATGTATATCGCAAACATAAACATATTTTATAAGTATTTTCCGGGAACAATACTTGTATTTTCTTTCACTAGATGGCGCTAATATTATAAAACAAGCATTAATCGTGTTATGACAATAATTGAGAGTTTAACTTAGCATTTATTTCACTGTTTGTTATCAGTATTAGTTAAAGAGATTACTGATTAGTGCAATTTATTATTTAATTGCATCCAGCTTACTGATTTGAAACACTTTGGTGCAAAGAAAACTGATAATCAGAGAGTTAAATTATTGTTAAAAGCTGTCATTTTCTTGCATATCGCACATCGGCAACGAGAGTGTCACAACTCACAACACAATAAATGTAGTTTTTGGGAAATCACGGTTATTTTATAATTTAGAACTCCATAATTTTTTTCTTGAAAAGCATATCGGAGGACTTATGATATATTTAAGAAAACTATTTTGCTCTTTTAGGTTTACAATCTAAAGATATTTGTTCTATTTTATATTTATTTTTTACTTTTAAATTCCTCTAATGTGTCACTTTTCCAGACAAAATTATCAAACATTTAGTAAAATGAAACACTTTAATATTATTATAGAGAACCCAAAGGCAACGAATTTAAAAGTCAAAAATCATTTATTCATGTAGGTTTTGACGTTCATAAGTGTAACACAATGTACAGTTATGAACGTCAAAAAAGAAATATACATTAAATGATTCTAATTTACATTTACATTTACACTCTCACATTCTTATTTACATTTACACGTAGAACGGAAGAGAAGAACTGGCAATAAACAAGACGTAGGATGTCCGAATTCATTGGCAAAGTAGAGAGGTGTAATAACGATGTAATACAGAATAAATGATCTACTAAGGAGATCTTGAATAAACAAACAAAACTTTTTAGTATTTTCTAAAGTCGCGTCGAGATGCTACCTCTGAGTTCCCAGCCCAAATAGAAAAGTTCATTTCTGCCCACATCAAATAGTGAGAAGCAACGATAGCTAAGACACGCAATTTGGAGCGCGTGATTGGAAACGTTCGCTCAATGAATCAGAATACTATCGTCGATCGGATGCAAGCAGGCTCAAGGTACGAGCTCCGCGATTTTGTTACCAACTGATTGTGATTATGTTTTTCCATTCTACAATAGACTTTATTAGTAGACCCCGGCTGTACACCAATTGACTTTTTTTTATTTGTGCATCTAAATACTTGCGCGTAACGTAAAGGAAAACAACATATCTGACTACAAAAACAACGGAACACGCCGCGGTAAACTCACCGGGCTTCAGACATCAGAGGGATACGCATACTAATGAAAAGTCCTTAAGTAGTTGTTAGTTTTAAGTAAAAAATATTAATAACTTGCAATTTGGACCAGGAAAATAGAGGCGTGGGCGTATAACCGACGTACAAAACCCGCATCAAGCTTACGGCGTCGTTCTCGCCAAATATTCAATGTATCGTTTTTCGGAAATCCTTATTTCTGTATTTTATAAAAGTATTATAAAGAATTGTATGGATTAAAATGCAACACGCAATACACGAACTTCCTACAACACAACTTGTACCGTCATCGACTTTCAAACTACGAGTATCCTAGATCACGAGGATCTATTATATTAATAAAAATTAAATAAAAGTGTC